ATAGGAAGACATTGAAATTGATGCAGGGGTCAGATGCGGGGCCCACTGCAAGGTCTACTGCAGGGGCAGGGGTGCATTATATCAAATTTCGATGTATCTATTCTGGCCATGGCCATAGAATGTCACATAATTATCCTTCAATTTGGCAGGGGTTTCTTGGTATGGTCTGCAGCTAAAGATATTTGATTCCCTTGTGCTTTAGCAGAGCCTGGGATATTGAAAACATGCAATAGCACCTGTATAATCTGTCTATGTAGGGTCAAATACAAGTTATAACTTGGTACATTTGGGCATGGTCTGCTCAAGCTATTAGGTCGAATTTAATGTTTGAAAAATGCGCAACTTGATTTGTTTGGCAAATCCCCCAAGGGAGTTTTCCATGTGCAGCCAAATTGATCGCCAGGAATAGCTACTGCTCCTTGTCCCTGTCTGTTTGCTTCCAATAGTCTGTCTGCTCCCAAATCTTCCTCTCCATTTTCAGGATATCTGATACAGGTGTTAGGATTGTTGATTGATGGATTTCATATTCCTTGTCTACACACCATTTAGACACTTTAATGGATGTGATAATACTGTGAACACTAACAATTGATTAGGCAGCACTTTTGTCCATCCAATCCTTGCAGGGGCTGGGGCAGGGTTGATGGTGGGGGCTGCCGCGGGGGCTGCTGCGGGGGGTGCCGCGGGGGGTGCCCAAGCCTCTGCCAGCCTACCCAATGTGGATCAACTACAGGATCACTTTCCAAAGCTTCTGTACTGCAACCCGAGTGACTTCCAGGTTACCTTTACCCAATTCCAGTGACACAACTTGCCTGCTCTTGTTTCTGGCCGACAATTGATTTTATAAGCTTGAGTGTGTATGTGCACTTTTTGGTGGGAAAGGAGGCCATTTGGTGAGGGGCAGGGCACCGAAACATTGTCAAATACCACATTAAACATGACCAGTGGCTTACATCTCTTCAAACTGGCCCCTATCTCATGTTTATCAAGACCCTATTTTTCAGACCCATTTCAAGTTTTTGAATGGTTCCAGGGTCCAGGGCTCTCAGAATTTGTTTCAGACACTGCCAAGGGGTATATCATTCAGCTGTATTGAGTTGTTCATTTGTAGAAAATATATTTTTTGCAATACCCAAAGTGAACTATGTTGAACCATTATCTATGTAGGAACCTTGAGCAACTGTGAACTGTTTTCATGTTTCGAATTTTGGATGGACAAACAATATGAAATACCTACATATTCAACAAGAACAGCATAGGGAGACCTTATTCCGATGGTTTTCAGCTGCATAACAGTAGAAACAGTGTCAGAAGAGCAGGAAACACTTAGGTACGACGTTTATACAGGTTCTGATTGGCTGGTGACTTGACGTGTTCCGAGCTGTCAGATTATGTAATCTTACATATGAGAAGATGGCAGGGGCAAGGCACCGGTGCAGCGGGGGGTGTGGCAGGGGGTGTCAGCCTGGCGGGGGTGCATGCGGGGGTGCAGTGGGGGGTGCCAGTTTGGCGGGGGGTGCCTGCAGGGGTGCCAGTGGGGGTGCAGGTAGAGTTGCAGGCAGTGAGTTATGGCAAGAACGTATACAGTCCCAGTAGCAAAAGCAATCATGTATGTTTCTGCAGTTTGTCTTGCAAGTATCCAAGCTCTAAGTGGAAAGAATTTTGTATATGAAATCTGAATTCATGCTCAATCTCTGGCTATTGTGAGACAACTTATTAGTGAGTTAGTTCATCCTCTTATATACGACCCAGGAATGAATTGAGGGCATGTCAAATCCGCTATGTTCCATCTGTTCATGTTGCAGCTTGAGAAAATCATTTGCAAAGCATCACAGAACTTCTGATTTTCAATGAGTCCCAGTCAGGAAGTGAGACATTCAATGTGTACTTGACATGTGGTACAATGTGCCGCAGGGTAAGATTACACTGTGCTAACAGTGTGAACAATTGACTAATAGCCATGTATGTAGAATGAGCGCACCAAAAAATCAATGAGATGACAGTGGACCCAGTGCAGCCAACCTACCCACCCTGCTGGTCAACACATGAACAAATCATAACTTGTATTTGACCCTACATAGACAGATTATACAGGTGCTATTGCATGTTTTCAATATCCCAGGCTCTGCTAAAGCACAAGGGAATCAAATATCTTTAGCTGCAGACCATACCAAGAAACCCCTGCCAAATTGAAGGATAATTATGTGACATTCTATGGCCATGGCCAGAATAGATACATCGAAATTTGATATAATGCACCCCTGCCCCTGCAGTAGACCTTGCAGTGGGCCCCGCATCTGACCCCTGCATCAATTTCAATGTCTTCCTATAAATTCCCAGTTGGCCTGTTGCCCTGCTCACCTCTACAAGATCTTCAATGAACAAAAATGGATCATAACAGACCAACCCTGGGGCAGCCCCCGCATCACCCCCCGCGGCACCCCCTGCGGCACCCCCCGCGGCACCCCCCGCGGCACCCCCCGCGGCAGCCCCTGCGGCAGGCCCTGCCAAATGATGGGATCAAGTGTGTCACCAATCCCATTGTGCAGGGTGCATTTTGGTTTTTCTAAGCTCAAGTTCATGTTTAACTAGCCTATTTACCTATGGAAATTATACTGGGATGATTTGGGGAGTCTTCCATTTTTTTGGCGGAAAATCACGTGATTTTGCGCCCATTGTCTGCCACAGCATGCAATGTATCAAGCAGCATTTCCAAAATCATGCCAAATGCTGCAAAAAAGGCGCCCAAAAAGTCACGTGATAATGCGCCCACTGCCCGCCATGGTGTGCGGGGGGGTGGTAGTGACCCCGCCAATGACGCCGCCAACCCCTGCCAGCATTTTGGTAATATTTGGGGCAGTGCATCACGTGATTTTTTTATCCCGCCATCCCGCCCATGCAGCGCGTCATGTGATTGGATTTTTTTTTCCCGCCCAGCTACCCGCTCTTATGGACAAGTCACATGCTACATACACCCCCCCTCCTCCTGACCCCCGCATATGCCCCCGCTACTAAATCGACTAAATGGCCCCCCCACCCCCCGCCAGGGGGTACCTACTGGGTACCCTCAGCAAGACGTCTGAGGGTACCCAGTAGGTACCCCGCGGGGGGAGAACCGCGTGATGGCGGTGGTAACTGAGGTGGCGTCGACTCAGTATATTGGTTGTATCGGTTGGCAGTGCGTCGACTTGATATTTGGGTTTTGCGTCACCATCTAGACGCTGTCGCTACAAGGGATCTTAATACTTCGTATTAAGCTCTGACTTGTTATATTGTTGGTTGTGGATTGGATTAGTGTTGGTTGTGTTCGTATAGGAGATATTGGTTGAGATACCACTGTTTACTATATATATATTCTTGTCGTCGACTTCGTCTCCGCGACTATTGGATCTGTGTCTATTGAGAGTTGTGATACTGGTGCTCTGTCCACCCCGAAGCCCTCGCATCTTTCACACACTGAGAAGCTGATTACGAGGAGTGTGAACGTGTTTTATATTTGGGTTTACTTTCATAGTAGATTCACTTGTGAGCACGCCCTCAGCATTTCAACGTATTTTGTGGTTGGATTGATTTCATTGTTGATTCAGTCACAAGCATGCCCTCAGCATTTCACCACGTATGTGACAATCAGTCACTCAGTACATTTCCTTGTGTGATATTTCCTCTGCCTGGCTAGTACTGCAGGGAGACTTATTTCTTTCCCGTGGAAAACACATGACAATTTAGAAGTCCAATTTTCACCATTCTGTTTTCAGACAAAAAGTATATATTGAAAATAGATCCTGATTTACAGCTTGATTTTTGACATGAATAGACATCTCTTCCTTCTGAAACATGACTGTAAATAGATCATCTGTTTTTATTGATTCTCATTGGGAATACTATCAGTGACTGGGAAGCGGACCACTTAAGCACATTTGGCTCTGGGTGACAAGAGGCAATAGGTTTTCAGGTAGCGTAAGTACACCGAAACATGACCTAGGGTGTAAGAAGGTGGGTGCAAGTTACTGTTTGACATTCTCATGACTGGTTCTCGCTGTGCAAATATTTTCCCGTGGAGGGTGTCAAACCGGATCAATCGGGCTAGTGGACCAGACGTGGGAAAATGACACCTGGCACGTTTCTGCCAGCGTTTCTTGCCGTCCCTCCCCCACCAGCTACAATATCCACATAATACATGTCCTCTACTATTGAAATATCACTCATCTGTTACCTTCAGCTGTGTGTCCTTCAAGAACTTGCGTCTGGAGAGCTTGAGCGGGTCCTCCAGCTCGTGCATCTCCAGGTATTCATCCATCGCGGTAACTTCATCGACAGTCTCGAGCGGCTCCCACGTTATGTCTCCATCCTTCCACACGACCATGAACTCGAGATGCTTCCGTTGGAGCCACCGGTGACCATTTATGTGCACAATCTCCGTCTTGTTTGGGTCGACTTCAGCGCCGTCCAGAATTGACCTCGAGATAGCAGCAAACACACTCAACGGCTCCTCCCCACCCAACGGCGGCTCCTCTCTGTCCAACAGCGGCTCCTGTTCGGCTGACGGTGGCATCTTGTCCAGGTCTTCTAACGCTGCGGGGCTTGCATGGGAGTCATGTGAGTCGCTACTCTGACCATCGCTTTCGTCGCTTTCTTCGCTCGTGTCATCTTCTGACTCTTCCTCACCCTCGTCATCATCATTCTGTTGATTTGGGCCGCGACCGCATCCGCCATTCGGTGCTCTGCCTCGCGCTCTGCCACGCGCTACACCACCACGGCCTCGGCCCCGCCCACGGCCCCGGCTACCCTGCACCTGCTGAGCTGCCTTCGACGCTTTTTCCGCTGCCTTCTTCGCCTTCTCCATCGCTTTTGAGGCTGCCTTTGACTCCTTCTCAAAGACAGCTATGCTCTTCCTGATATCCGCCAGTTTCTTCTTCATCGCCTGATGGATCTCGCCCATCGCCTTCTTCTGCTCATCAAGCAAGAGAGCCTCCAACATCTCATCACCAGTCATCAAGCGCGGGGCCCCAGTGTTGTACGCACGGCGCTCCTTCTTCTTGCCATAGAGTTGCTGACGAACACGCTGATGCTCGGTATTCATCAAGACCATATGCGCATAGCCCCGCTCCAACTCTGCTGATGCTTCATCAAGAAGGCCTCGCAGCTGCTCATTTTGGCTGACCAGGGCGGCTCGTGATGCGTTCCCCAGGAGCTTGGCCGGTACAACAATCTTGTAGAGCGGGAGAGGCTGGACATCGCCCGACAGCAATGAGATATGCTGTTGTGTATCCGCCGTTGTCGCAGCTGGTGGAGTATTGCTCGAAGAGTTTGATGGGGAATCGGGGCAGATTGTTGTCGAAACAGATGCTGACACAGTTGATAGCGTGTCGGCAGCCATTTCTACCTCGTTTGTAGACGGGGTGGATTCGATCGGTGCTGATGCATTGATGGCAGCATCTCCAGGTGCTCCAACTGGCATGTTGCTTTCCACGGGAGCAAGCAAGTGAGAACGCTGAACTTCAAGCACAGGCTGATCTTTTGTGGTATAGTTCTTGGATGGTGCGAAGAGCTTCTGGGGCACAGCAGACTCGTTCAGTGGATGAATGCCGCATTTGCGAAATGTGTTAATGATGGTGGTCTTCTTAAATGCCAATTTGCGAGCTTCATGGTAGTTTTCGATGAGATTGTACTTGTCAATCACAACACCAGCCGTTGTTTGCTTTGAACACGAGTGAGATTATGATAACGAGTTCATTTTGAGATACATACCTTGATGACTTGTCGCTTCCAGTATGTCGCTAATGGACCAAAGACACCAACGTCGCATGGTTGGAGAGCATGCGTGGTATGAGAAGGTAGGCAAATAATGATGATCTTATGGTCCTTTGCAAAGCTCACAAAATCGTAATGGCAATGACTGTTATGTCCATCGAGAAGAAGAAGGCGGTAGTCATTGGGGCTGTCCAAGCGAGCAGCTGTTTGAGGATGAAAATCCTTCCTCATTGTGACAATCAACAAGAAATAATGTCGAAAAGAGAAGTGAATTCGAAGACTGGAGAATACAACCAAAGTAGGTACGGTATTTATACCCAAGTCCAGTCTGAGTCATATCTACAACTAATGAGTCATAAGGCTATGTACCGCATGGAGCACTGGTCATGGGTTGCAGTAGAACCTTCCGGAGCATATATCGCGCAGCCTTGGATCGATAAAGATAATCCCTGGAACCCCTAACCCGGGCCGTCTGATGCCATGATCCGTGATAAGATAAGATAAGATCGTCGAAGATAAGATGAAAAAGTGGCCAAACTATGACATTACCCCCTCTCTAGGGTCGATGTCCTCATCGACTAGGCCAATGGGCGTGAAGACGTTCTCGTACGGATCGAAGAGTTGTCGTTGGGGATATGGGAGGCGCTCGTCCCTGGGTTTATAGCGATGAATAAGATAGTCCCAGTGTCCAGCTTGGAGAGTTGGCAGGAGGCGAATGCGTGTGTCTGGGTTGGATTGTTTCCTTTGCCAATCTCTCAGGACCTTCTTCGCGTGGATGAGGTGACGTGATGGTTCCCAGGTGTTCTCGCTATGCGGCCATCCCTTCCATTTGACCAAGTACTGTTTTCCTCGGCCAATGTTTCGCTCTTTCACGATTTCTTCGACTTCCCACTCCTCTGCTCCTCCGATCATCTTGGCTACGGGTCTCTTCTCTCGGCGATGGGGGGGTGGTTCGTGATAGGGTGTCAACAGTGATTCGTTGAACACGGGGTGTCTTCGGTCCGTATCCGGCAGATCCAGCTTCCATGCGGCCGCTCCAACCTTCTCCAGTATCTTGTATGGTCCCAATCTCTTGTCGCTCATCTTTTTGATGGTCTGTCCGTCTCGATATTTTCCCCTTCTATGTACACCTTCATCCCAACCTTCAACTCCGGAACTTCTTTTCTTTGTTTATCGTAATATTTTTTCATTTTTTCTTTTGCTTTTTCCAATGCTGCTTTTGCTTCGTCTTGTATTTCTTTGATTCTTTTTACAAATTCCTCCGCCGACTCGTTTCTCGATTCCATCCGCTGCTCTACTCCCTTCCATGGGTGATATCCGTGATTCGCGTAGAATGGTGATATTTTGGTAGACGTGTTCATTTTGTCGTTATACGCGAACTCCGCCATTCCCAGCCACTCCGACCAGTCCGTCTGATGATAGTTGACGTAGATGCGGAGATAGTGCTCGATCTCCTGATTCATACGCTCCGTTTGCCCATCCGTGATCGGGTGATATGCGGTCCCCGGATTCATCTCTACGCCCAACATCCGATTCGTTTCCTTCATGAAGCCCTTGATGTATCGAGAGTCCCTGTCGGTGATAATCTTGCGAGGGATCCCGTGATAACGGAAGACCCGGTCCCTGGTTAACCGTGCTACTCCTTCGCTACTGATGTCAGTGCTAATCGGTTCGACATGGATCATTTTGGTGAAGGTGTCACACCACACATGGATTGCATCATACCCGTTACTGACCGGTAGGGGTCCGATTTGATCCATGGAGATGATTTCCCATGGTGCGTTTGGGACCGCGTGCGGGTGTAGGGTCCCCGTTCTCGCCCTTCTGGTCTTGGTCCGTTGGCACGCCTCGCATGTCTGGATGTATTTCCGAATTTGATTCCCCATCCTTGGCCACCAGTAGTTCCTTTCCACCATCTCCTGCGTTCGGTTGATTCCTGCATGTCCGACCAAGGGTGTATCGTGGTGTAGCCCAATGATCTTGTCTCGTAGCTCCTCGTCCCTCGGTACATAGAGCTTTCCGTGATACGTGATGAGTCCATCTTCCTTCTTCCATCCCACGAGCGACTTCTCCAAGGCCGCCTTGACGCTTCCATCAGTTGATCGAATGGCCTTGATCTCATCAATCAGCTGCTGATCCTGCCCTTCGAATGTGACTTCTTGTGATCGGAAGAACTCGGGTTTCAGCAATGTAACATCCTTGTTGTCGTTCTTGCCCTGATCGTGATCCGCTCGTCGAGATAAGAGATCTGCCTTGCGGTTGAGCGCGCCGGGCCGGTGTCGTAAGGTGAAATCGAATTCCGCCAACTCCGTGATCCATCGTGCTTGCCGTCGATTGAGCTTCTGCGGCTTCCGAAAGTACTCGAGATTCTGATGATCGGTGAAGATCTCGAACGTTTCCGTGGCTCCCAGGAGCAACTGCCTCCATTCGTCAAGTGATAACATGATTGCGAGCATCTCCTTGTCGTAGATCTCATAATTTCGCTCGGTTTCCGTCAATGCATGCGAAATAAATGCGATAGGGCGCCAGATGCCGTCTTGGTTCTGGCTCAAAACAGCTCCTGTTGCCCCTTCCGAAGCATCGGCTTCCAGACGATATTGGCCGGTGTCATTTGGCAGTGCCAGGACCGCATCCTCCGCGATTCTCTTCTTCAACCCCTCGAATGCTGCGCGCTCATCTGTACCCCATGACCATCCTGCCTTCCCTGTCAGTCGTGTCAACGGCTTGGCGACCTCCGCATATCCCCGGACAAAGCGCCGATAGAAGTTGGTGAACCCTAGGAAGGCTTGGACCTGTTTGACGCTCTTTGGTTCCGGCCATTCCATCACACCCTTGATCTTGACTGGGTCCATCCGCATTGAATTGTGTCCAATAATTACACCCAGATACTCGATTTCCGTGCGTTCGAACTCGCACTTTTCGGGTTTCAGGTACAGCTTGTGTTTTTGGAGCAATTCGAGTACTCGTTTTGTGATCCGCCGATGTTCGTCCAAGTTCTCTGTGAAGATCAATATATCGTCCAGGTAGACTACCACGTGGCCCTCGTTGATCAGTTCTCGGAGTATGTCATTCATCATGTTTTGGAAGGTTGCCGGGGAGTTTGTGAGACCGAAGAACATGACCAAGGGCTCGTACAGTCCGCGGTTCGTGCGGAATGCAGCCTTCCACTCGTCGCCTTCTTTGATTCGTACGTTGTTGTATCCCCACCGGATGTCTAACTTCGTGAAGAATTTGGCGCCGCATAGATTGTGAACCAGTTCGGAGATCAGCGGTAGCGGGTACCGATTTCGGATCGTCATCTCATTCAGCTTCCGGTAATCTTGAACAGGCCGTAGCGAGCCATCCTTCTTCTTGACAAAAAAGAATGCCGATGCCATAGGTGATTTTGATGGCCTGATCCGTCCGCTGGCTAGGTTCTCTTGTAAGAACTCGTCGAGTTTGACCTGCTCGTTTCGCGATAAGGGGTACACCTTGCAGTCCACTGCTTTGGAGCCAGGTTTGAGCTCGATCGCGTGATCCCATGCTCGTCGGTCCGGTAGCGAGTCGAACGATTCCTTGGCGAATACTTTGACGAATTCCCGATATTGATCCGGGATCTTCCCCTTGGTCATTCTCTCCTTCTCCTTTTCCGCTTCTTCTGCGAATTTCTGCGCCGGCGTTTCCTTCAGCCGTAGATCCACTTCCTTCCCAAAATCAACCAATAGGATCGATTCTCCCTCTTCCAGATCCGGTGCATCCGCGTCCAGGTCGATTGCATCCATGTCGATCATTGCTTGGTGCTCCTCGTGACCCCTCATGTGACACCGCTCTGGGCATCGGCTGAATCTCATCGTCTGCTCTTGCCAATCTACCTCCGGGTTGTGTTCCGTCAGCCAATCGAGGCCAATGAAGATCCGGGCCTTCCCTAGACACGTCAGAAGGAACGTGCGTGTCTCCACATGAGGACCGATTCTCATCCTCAGATCGACATAATGCGTGATCCGACCGCTGATGTTCTCGGTGTTGTCGGCGTTACGAGCCACGATGGGTTGTGGAAGCTCTTGGATATCCAACCTCTCTGCCCGCGCGTAGTCGGTATCAATGCAGCAGGTACTGCAGCCACTATCGAGCAGCGCCTTTACTCCGCGCGTTTTTCCCGAGTCCAGTCCCGTGATCTGGACATACACATCCATCGAATGCCTCTTCCTTTCGGCCTGGTAGCTGCGCAATTCCTGCGCCAATCTGCTGGGTTGGGGGCCCTTCTGTTTCTCGGCCGCCAATTTCCTCTGGACGGCATCTGGCACCCTTGTGCGTTTGGGTGCTTCTGGAACCTTGATTTCGGCAGATTCCTTAGGCGCTTCCTCCTTTTCCAAGGATCGAGCCTCCGGAGCGATGCTCCCCTTTTCGGTCTTTGTTGACGTGGTTCCTTCTCCACGAGCCATAAATACGTAAGAGTCCAAAAATAATTTATCCGCAGCCGCTATCTTCTGATCCTTTTTATCTTGTAAATATTTTCTATTTAAAGCTATTTTTTCTTTACGTTCCTTTTCCATTTCAGCAACAAGAAAATCATGAATATTTGTACGTAGTGAGTCGGGGAGCGTGTATGTATGATGAGGCATATTGTTTGTATCTTTAATTGAAACAAGTACAGAAAAACGTCCATAGTCCGGGCGCTCCACCTCCTTGGCTAGAGGAGTGGAGCGCTTCAAAAACCCTTCTCGCGCAGCTTCTCAGCGATCTCCTTGAGGAACTCGTTGTCCTTGTCCCCGTTCTCGATCTCTTCCAGTATCGTGGCCCGATTGAAGAATGTGCGCTTCTTCCTTGGCTCCGGACAGTTCCGCGCAATGTGCCCGGGCTGTTGACAGTTGTAGCAGATGACATTGCGGCCGCGGGCGTGGGTACGATCGATTTCCATTGGAACCGGTTCGTTGGCAGCGGGTCGGGCCGGAGCAGGTGCGGGTGTCGTTGGAGCAGCCTGAGGGCGGAATTGAGGAGGTGGTCGTTGCGCGGGGTGCCCATACGACGCTTTGCGCAGCTGGTCACGAAGAGCGTTTGCCTCGATGTTGACACACCAGTCCTTGAAGGCGCCATACACCTTGGGCAGGGGAACACCGGTGTTGTAGAGGCGACTGGCGATCTCGCTACTGAGTCCGCGCTCAAGGAACTCGATGAGGATATTGTCTTGATCCCCCTTCTTGTACTCGCCCTTGTCGTCGGTGGCGGTGACCACATTGTACCCCGCATCCGAAGCCAGCATCTCAAAGTCGGAGATATAATCCGCAAAGGATCGTTTGTTCTGGCGGAGGGCCATGAGTCGAGCGGCGGCAACTTGCTCTGCGTTGGAATCCCCGAAGGCCCTCTGAAGCTCCTCCAAGAAGGTTGCCGAGGTGACCCCAGCCTTTATCCCACTAAGGCTCTCAAAGTTGCGCTGTTTCCAGTTCATCGCCCATCTCGAGGCGGCGCAACTTGTGCCAGCCTCGTTGCGGAGGTAGGAGAGGATGAACAGGATTTTTGTTTCATCCTGCGAGAATTCCGACCGATAGGCACCAATATAGGTAGTGCACGAGTCCACGAAGCCCATATATTTTGTCTTGTCCCCATCGAAATAGGGGGGGTTGGCGGCGAGGGTGATGCGGTGGTGTCCTGACATGGTAGGAGCAGGTGTGGTAGGTGGGGGTGAGGGTGGTTGTTCAGAGGGCAATTCGTCGAGGTCAGGGATCTCGTCTTCAGGCGGCGGGAGGGCGAGGTAGGGATCAAAGGCCTCGGGTTGGTTTTGATGCGCCAGATCGGGCGACGATGGTATGATGGGGGGAGGAGACGGACTCCCAGATGACGATGGGAATCGGTACGAAATGGTGGATTCGTGTGCTGTACAAGCACTCGAGGATGGGTTCTTTTGCTAGCAAAAAGATCCCGGGCCTAACTCTTCACGTGCCCGATGATCCCGAGGTGCGTTTTCCCGAAGGTCTCCGCAGCACTCCTTGTAGCTACCGTAAGGCTTGGGTCGGGCTCAACGTTACCCGTGGCCTGGTGCTGTTTGCTCGATACGAACCCTTCACTGCGAAGGTGGAGGACGACTAGATGATTCGGTAGAAAGGTGAGTGGATTTATCAAGGGTGTAGAGGATATAGCGGGCGTAGCGGGGAAGGATGCAGAGGTAAGAGGTATGAGGTAGGAGGGTATGAGGGGAGTCTTCGAATTATGTGACAATCAACAAGAAATAATGTCGAAAAGAGAAGTGAATTCGAAGACTGGAGAATACAACCAAAGTAGGTACGGTATTTATACCCAAGTCCAGTCTGAGTCATATCTACAACTAATGGGTCATAAGGCTATGTACCGCATGGAGCACTGGTCATGGGTTGCAGTAGAACCTTCCGGAGCATATATCGCGCAGCCTTGGATCGATAAAGATAATCCCTGGAACCCCTAACCCGGGCCGTCTGATGCCATGATCCGTGATAAGATAAGATAAGATCGTCGAAGATAAGATGAAAAAGTGGCCAAACTATGACACTCATCCAGAGCGAGCCCAGTTCCTGATCTGTCCAGCCGTTCTTCGAAACAGAAATGCTGTATCAATGATCACCATCTGGTCTCGCTTGTCAATGAAGGAATAGTTTCATACCTGGCATTGCAAGGATTGTTCTTGCCCCATCTGTTGTCTCGACGTTGACCCTGGAAGACAAATGAGGGAGCCAAGGCATCTCCGTCAGCGCATAGACACTCGAGAATTGTCACAAGTTCTCGATTGCCGTTAGCAATTGTCTGAACGCCTCGCTGATCGCGATCGACAACAACCGTGATGCGTCCAGCCATTCCAAGTTGTATACCTTTCTCGTCCATGTTGTACATGTTCTTCGGCTGGATCTCGTACTCTTTGATGACGGACTCGAGCATCACAAAGAATTGACGAACGACTGTTGGGTTGAGAGACATAGCCCGACACTCCTCAAGCATTGAGGATGCCTTGATCTGGATTCAAGTTGAGGATATGATGACCGTGTAGAGCTGAATGCTCACCTTGAGATCTCGATGACGTTCCATGAACCGCCGCCCCCATGTCTTCCCGAGTTCCTTCCCAACCATGCGACACGCATAGGCAGTAATCGTGTCTACTGTTAACGGTATTCCACGGTGACCGAGAACCTGAAGTAGAATGAGAAAAGCGTCAAGTCTGACTATGTGCCGGGAAATGCCCACCTTGATGAACTCGACGAAGACTTCCTCTGTAGCAGCAGAGAGGGCACGTTCTTTTGCATGAGACTCCTCTCGAGTTGGAACACCCTCCATGCGAGCGGAAACGGTGGTGCGGCTAACACGATAGAACGTGCATGCTTTCCGCTTCGAGAGACCTCGATTGATGGCAGCAATTGCAAGATTCTGTCGTTCATACAAGGGGAGCTCCCTCAAATCAGCATCCGTAACCAGTTCCACTGCAGTTTCGTCAAGTGAATCGTCGAGATCGAGCTCAGAGTCGATGGCAGTGGTAGCCATGAAGGTGTGGAATCTGAATCGGACAAATGCACGCATTTCTGGCCACGTTCCACAGTTCCGTCAGGGCCAGAACACGAGTGCTCTGTCCAAAGTGGAAGGTCAGATCATGGTATGAATTAGACTTTGTGTTCCAGGTCGCTTCACGTTCATCGCATCACACAGTATATCAAAATGCGATTGTTAGAAGACTGTCATTGGATACAAGTGCGTCAAACTCCGTCGCACGGAAGCTACTATACAAAGTTCAGGGACTCGGGCAGCAGACAACGCGGAGAGTGCAACATACCAAACAAGCTTCGTTCTCATCACCCTTGACCCGATGAGAAGAACTCGGAGCATCTGCCGGGGTCTGAAGGAGCCCAAGGATCTCACTCGACACAGGAGTCCAGCCGATGGGGGTCCTGGGGATAGTGGGAGGAGCAGGAGGAGCGAGCAGAGTCAGGTCCTGCTGAGCACGTTCACAAAGAGGACAGATGATGAGAAGCTTACAGCAAATGATGTGAACGCGCTGCCCCGGTGCCGGCTGGCCAGTTGTTCCAGCTGCATTGGGGTTCGGAGGCGCCGGAGACTGAGCAGAGGGTGATTCAAGAAGAGGGCGGCCCGAGGTCTATGCGATGGGGTCCGACGCAACGTGGGATAGACAGATGGTACTCAGAACACACCTTGTGTCTTTCCGGTGCATTTCCGCCCATATAGGAACCTCAAATCCCCTCCGCGAACAATCCCTAGCTCCGGCAGGAGTGGTGGCACGCCTCATGTTGTCGGCAGCATTGACACGTGGATAAAATCGATTAAAATAGTGGGGAGGCGGCTATTAAAGGTTTAAGGGTGGTAAATGAACCGTGAAAAGTTTGAAGGTCAGAGAGGAAGACACTCACCATGAACGACGGTCTCAATCCAACATCATTTGAGGCCACTGAAAGAGTCAATAGGTTCCAGAGATGGCGCCACGGGCTGTGAAGTGGGATAGAGCACAAGATTTAGAGTCCAATGTGAGATACCCTGTGTCTAGGCTACGCAGCGCGCACAGCGCCCGCACCAGAAATGTAGCCCTCGTCGTGTGGGAGCGGATTTGGTCAAGAATTTGGCATCGCCAAACAAGGAATCAGACCACAACGTCCCAAAACTGATGGCAGATTGACGTTGTCAATCGACGACGCAACGTCGCCGGTCTCAAACTTGCGTCTCAGGGGTTTTTGATATCCTTCTTTCATCCTACATACACGGAACGGGCTATATCCTAGTGATTCGAGCTGAAATAGCAAAGTGGTCCGCTAGGTAGGGTGGTCCACTAGACCCTCACTGATAGTAGACATCAATTTTCACTGAAAATAGAGACAAAAAAAGATGATTTCTTTTTCACTGAGAACAGATCAAAACTACTGGAAGAATCTGTTGATTCCGGCCCCAATCCACATAATAAGTCCTGCAGCATGATTCCAACATGTTTTGAGTAGCATTCAGTAGCCTTTTGCAAGGCCAGCAATGCAAATTGGGGCCGGAATCAACAGATTCTTCCAGTAGTTTTGATCTGTTCTCAGTGAAAAAGAAATCATCTTTTTTTGTTTCTATTTTCAGTGAAAATCGATGTCTATTCCCAATGAGAATCAATAAAAACAGATGATCTATTTAAAGTCATGTTTTCAGAAGGAAGAAATGTCTATTCTTGGCGAAAATCAAGCTGTAAATCAGCGTCTATTTTCAATATATACTTTTTGTCTGAAAACAGAATGGTGAAAATCGGACTTCTAGATTGTCACGCATTTTCCGCGGAAAAAAAATAAGTCCCCCCGCAGTGTAGGTTCCAAGTCCTTGGTCTCAAACTCAATGGGTGTAGAGTATATGGCTATGTTATTTAAATACTCAACATCAATAAACATTTCACAAAAAAAACTTCCCAATTTGGGGGTGCAGTGTGTTGTGTGAACGTTGGCCATGATCTTTTGATCCAAGATTCTTTGCATTGATGAGCTCAGTACGATCACATGAACTTTCCATATTCAGAACCAGCCTAAAAAAACATGTTGGGGATGCTTTCCGGTATTTTCTGCTGGTATTCTGTAAATTTCCATGCATTGAGCACATATTTTTATTTTCAATTCTACGAAATTGGCTTTTGCAAATCACTTCTTTTACGCCTCGCATGTGTTGACCTTCGGATCATCTCCGGCTTACGCCATAAACTCTCTTCGCCCGTGCCTCACTGCATTGCCATCACTCGTATAACCTGGATCTTTGGCTCGTGTGTCATGTCTGTGGGGCGCAAGTACCCGATATGGACATAGACTATGTGGCTGTGTATTCGGCATCTCGGCAGTCACGCAGGAAGCTCGGACGTTCGAGTCCGAGCAGTTGTAAATTTCGCACAACTCAGATTACTTGGGCCTTTTGGTACAGATCGTTAGAAACTGTACAAACGCAGAATTGTATTATTTTGAATCGTTTCATTAATTAGCAGGTGAGCGGTAGTACGCTAAGTACTCATACATAATCACCAATTACTTATGATTACTTATGCCAATTGGTGTGATCATCAGCACCTTCCGCAGCTGGATCCAAACGCATCAGCCTTCTGCAAAGATCGTGGTATAAAAAAAGTAAAACATATACAATTCTGCCACGGGGGTTCTTGGGAACCCCCGAGGCACAAGTCATTCCAGGATTCGAACTCTAACAGTGATCAATGCCACACGGGATGACGTCGTCATCACCCGAAGAGGGCAATCACGGGTGCTTTCGGAGGCGGCATCTTCCGACCCGCCTGTTGCGAGAATTGTTTGATTCTCATTGGCTGGACCTTAGCCCAAATGAGGATATTGCCCCGAATAGACTCGGGGCATCGCATCAATTCCGACATCAGGTGTTTTCAAAGTTGCCGACCTTGAGCCACTCTCGCAATACAGCCTGTACGGCCCACAACAGGGAAGATTATTTGTTCCGACAGTCCCATCTTCAAATCTAAATCATAATATACTCTCCCTTTTCCTTTGATTTTTCTCCTTCCCTTGCGTTTGATTTTTTTGTTTCTCTCCACAGACATGGGCCACGAGCCGGATCTTTGACGGAGAAGATCCCAGATATATAGGGACATCTCGGTCCCAGACTTCTCGCCCGCTTTCTCTAGAATGTCTACGATCTCGTTGCCATTCAGTCAAACTATCGCCTCTGTGGCTTGCGCTGGCTTGGTGAGCTGAGAGCCGCAATCGTTTTCTTGCGATCTCTGGAGACCGCTGATGGTCTTTCAGCTGTGTCACCTGCTCTTCAATCGCCTGGAGCCGCGGCGTCTTGCTTCGTTCTTCGCCCTGTTGATACTACCACCCGTTGTGCTGGTGTATGGGCTTCAGGTGCCACGACATGTGGGAGGAGGCTTGTGGGCTGCTGTCGCGGCGACGTCCGGCGTCTACTACGCGTCGCTCCTGGCTTCGCTGCTGACGTATCGCCTATCTCCGCTGCATCCACTGGCACGTTACCCGGGCCCGCTTCTCTGCAAGATGTCCAAGATATGGCTCACGGCGGTGTCCATGCGCGGCAAGCAGCACATCTACTACTCTGATTTGCACCAGAAGTATGGGGATATTGTCCGTGTCGGTGAGTTTTTTCTTCTTCTTTTAGCTCGCTCCTGCACATTGCGTGGCGATATTTACGATTCTCGACGATCAGGTCCGAACGAGCTTTCTTTCAGACACGTCGATGCTATCCAACCGATGATGGGCACTCAGGAAGGGCTTCCGAAATGTGCGTCGATTTCACGTGAATGCGACAGAAACGCGCTGAAACGTCGAGGAAGCGGAATGGTGGGATGGCCGAATGCCGGAGAACCCCAAGTTTCGGCCGATATCGGGATTGCGGGATCCTGAGGAGCACGCTCGTCGGCGCCGCTCGTGGAATCGGGCACTCAGCACGTCCATGCTCAGAGAGTACGAGAGCCTGGTCGAAGGCCGCGTGGCACAGATTGTCGAGATGATTGCGACTAAGAAAGGCCAACCGCTCGATTTGTCCAAATGGTTTGGTGAGCTTGGTCTCTCTCTTGGAATGCGATTGATAAACCTGATGTAGGCTGGTTCGCATACGATGTCATGAACGATGTTATGTGCATCAGGTCCCACTTTGGATAGCACCCGGGTTGAAGCTCGATCACAGGTTCAGCACCGGTGGGAACGCCCTGGCCACGGAAGACAAAGATGAAATACTAGAAATCATAGCCAACTGTCAACCGTCGGTCCAATCTTCATCTGTTGCAAGTCCCTGCTGATTTACGACATCCCGTCTCAGTACCGCATTGTTTCTGAGCCATTTGCCCTGGGCTGCAGTATTCTATCGATGGATCCCTGGCGTGGGTGGACCACTGCGGAGATATCGAAAATATGCTGTTCACAGGGCAACCCAACGAAAACTTGATGGGTCGATCCGCAAAGACGTTTTCTATCATCTGGTCGGCTTTATCTACTTACTACTCATTCTATTGAAACTTACCTCTGCAGATCGACGAGCCAGGTCTGGAAACGAAGCCTGTGTCGCTTGCCCAAGTCATCGTCGACGGATCACCTGCAATCATTGCTGGGGCGGAGACGACCTCGACCACCCTGTGCAACATTTTTTGGTTGCTGCTCAAGCATCCACAAACCTTGGCCCGGCTGCGGGAGGAAATCGATGACCCACAGTGGAACATCACCGAAACGGCCGTTCAAGCGCGGATGCCCTACCTGAATGCTGTGATGTCCGTTGTCTTTCTGCATCTCCAGAGACGGCTCACATCAATTT